CCTGGGCTCATAGATCAAACCCTGTCACCTCAAAAATAAATAAGTAATAGTAAATTAATAAATAAGTAAGTTAATTAGGACAGGGCTTTACCAAGTTCTGCTCTTGCCCTGGGACTGTGGAGGTGGCAGACAGTGACAAAGGGGGCCTCACTGCAGGTGCGTGCCCCGCCCCAGGTACAGCCTGACAAGACATTCAAATGTAGGAAGGAGGGGCGGAGGCAACCTTTATTTAATACCTGATAACAGCCACACTGCACCTGGCTCAGGCTAGCCCTGTGCTTTTTTTCCCAGCCTGATCCACTGATTTGTTCATTTCAGGCCTGGGAGACTGAGCAGAGGTCTGAAGATGTGGAGTAAACTGTACTCAAACAGCCCTAGGCCTGCCTGCCTGGCCTCAGCAGTCCCCTCCCACTGCTAAAGAAGACCATGAAAGACTCACGCAGGCAGGAGGGCCCAAACGTGCCAGAGGGGCAGCAGAGCTTCAGGGAATCTGAACAGAGCCACTGGAAGAGGTCTGGAGCTTCTTGCTGCCTGAGGCAAAATGGGGTGAGAGGGGGAGGGTGCCGGGATAGTGTCAGAGTGGCTGCTTACTCCAGCCTCTTACTAAAGCTATAATTCAGCCCGGCTTGGGCATGCGTCCCAGAAACCGCTTAGCCAAGACCCTTTTGGCAGAGGGGTAAACAGGCCCAGAGTAGGGGGCCTGATACCCACAGCAAGTCCTCAGATCTAGGTTTGGAAGGTTCCAAACTAGGCTGGCATGCAACTGTCTCTTGGCCAGGTAAAAGCCATATCCCCAGGGCCTGTCTGTAACACACTCACAGGGCAGACCCTGTGAAACCACCCGGTCCACCCAAGGGAAGACCCCTCCCCCCTGCCTCTCACTTGTGAAACCACCAGGCCTCCACCAGCTCCTCGCTCAGCTCCAGCAGGCGGTGGCACTCGAAGTCTGCCTTGCTGCACACGCCCTCCAGCACCTCCACCAGGCGGGTTTCACTGACCGGACAGGACAGGGGTGGTAGGAACATGCGCTACCCCCCACCCCAGCTCCTCGGGTCTCTCTCCACCTTCCCTCACACTCTGACAATACTAAGGAGGGGGCAAAGGAGCATTAATAACAGACGGGCTACTGGCTCGGCAATCAAACAGACCCACATTGTAAGCTAGACCTTATCTGGGCAAGTCAGTAAGCCTTTCCTGTTTTTGTTTCTCACTTCTGGGCCTCTCAGTTTTAATCAGGGTCTAACTATGTCCCCCAGGGTGGCTTGTAACTCTCCTACATACACATCCCACTGTGCACCAACATGCTGGGCGAACCCTGTTTTTTGTTGTCATTGTTGTTTTCATCTCTCAAATAGAAACAGTAACACCTCTGCAAGTGAATTCTGACCTGGGATAGCCATGCTGGGGAGAAAGGACTACAATTACATCATGAGGCTGGGATGGGTAGCTCAGAGAGAGAACTCCCCACACCTCCTGCAAATATATGATCTACCAAGCACTGGCAAGAAAAACCTGAATCCCTTCGGCACTGCAAGTGGGCATACAAGATGGTGCAATCATCTAAATGGAGCCATCATGACTCAGCAATTCCTCTCCCGGGCACATACCCAAAAGAATGGAAAACAGGTGTTCAAATACAAACTTGTACACAAATGCTCACAGCCATATTCATATTGAACAACTCAAACTGTCCATTAAACAGTGAAAGAAAATACTGTGTGTCCATTCAATGGGAAATTTTTCAGCCATAAAAGGAATGAAGTAATGTGCTGCACATATCATATAATAGGGATGAACTCTGGAAACATTACACTAAGTGAAAGAAGCCAGACATAAAAGGCCACATGATGTAGGGCATCAAAGGAATCAGAAAATCCACATGGGTTTCTTGATTAGAGCATATTAGCAGTTGCCAGGAGCTTGAGGGAGGGAAAGATGAGGAAGAGCTGCTTAATCAGACTAAGATTTCTTTTGGTGCGATGACTACGTTTCAAAGCCAAATGTGGTGGCATATACCTGTAATCCTGGCACTCTGGAGTTAGAGGCCAGCCTGAACTATATAGGGAAACTGTGTCAGAACAAAAACAAAAGTGAGAAAGTTCTGGAGTGGTGTTATACAGCAGTGAGAATGTACAAAGTGTCCCTGTTGGTGACTTTCTCTTTTTTTTTTTTGGCCATGGAGCCTAGACTGGCCTTGATGGCCTTGAGTGTGCTACGCAGCTAGCACACTCTGCTAGCTTCTGCTTCCTTCCTTCTCACATTCTGCTTCCACCTCTCAAGTGGTAGAATTAGGCGTGCACCACCATGCTTGCTTTTATTAGGTGCTGGGGAAGGAGCCCAAGATACTGTGTGTGTGAGAGTAGCACTCTGACAACTTGGCTACATTCCCACCCTGTTAGATTCCTTTATGTGAATTTTACAATTAAAAAAAAATTTTAAAAGGTATGATGGCTCACACCTGTAATCCCACCACTTGGGAAGTAGAGGTAGGAAGATCAGGAGTTCAAGATCATCCTCAACTATACAGCAAGCTGAAAGGCTGCCTGGTCTACATGAGATATCTCAAAAACAGAGTTTTTTTAATTACATAAAATATGACATGAGGGTTGGGGAGGGGACTCACTCTGTAAAGTGATCCCTGAATAAGCAGAAGGACCCAAGTCTGGACTCCCAACACCCATGTAAAAGCCAAGTGTGGTATGATGTCTGCAACCCCAGGGCTGGGGACAAGGGGGAGGGGTCAGAGACAGGCAGATCCTTGACCCCAGTCCAGCAGAATAACCAAGTTATCGAGATCCAGGTTCACAGAAAGAACTTGCTTCAAAAATAAGGTGGGACAGTCAGGCATGGTGACTCGGGAGGCAGAGGAAAATGGATCTCTTGAGTTTGAGGCCAGCCTGATCTACAGAGGGAGTTCCAGGACAGCCAGGACTACACAGAGAAACCCTGTCTCAAAATAATGATGACGGGAGAGTTCAGCAATTAAGGTCACTGGATGCCCTTCCAAAGGACTGGGTGTACATCATGACAACTGATGAGCTCCAAAATAAGTGCCCCATCCCCACCTTCCAGCTGCTTTCCCCACTCCCTCTATGCTGCCCTGACTTCCTGTGCTTTATGGGTGTGGGTGAGCTCTTAAGACCAGAGGCTGGAGAAATGGCTCAGCAGTTAAGAGCACTGGCTGCCCTTGCTGAGGACCTGGGTTCTCCTCTCAGCATCAATAAAGTGGCTCACAATTGCCAGTTCCAGGAAATCCATTGCCCTCTGCAGGCCTCACATTCAGGACAAAATCTAACTCCTTTCTGTGGCCTTTTGCTTATTCTACTCCAACCATTTTTGAGAGAAAAATAAGGTCAGCCCTGCTACTTCACCTAAGGTGTCTGCGCAAATGGACCATCCAGAAGACCTCCCACACACCTGCTGTCTACCCAATTTCTTGTTTTTCACCTGAAAGGTATTAGGTACTGTTTGTCTACTCTCCTAAAAATAAGTTTCATGGCCAAGGGGCTTGGTTTCCTTATCTTCTGCAGTTCTGCAAATGTTCCCTATCTGGGGAATAAATGCATCCCCAGAGAATCTATCCCAACCAATCAACAGAGACCAAGAGTTGGGGTACACAATCCCCCACCCACTTTCTTACCTGTCTTTGTATTTGGACAACTTCTCTTCCTCCCAGGCAGTGTTTCCACCACCAAAGTTGTCCCGGATGGTTCTCTCCAGGCCCTGGATCAGAAGAAATTAGGCATACCTAAATATAAAGCTTGACACATTCTTTTTGTTTGCTTTTGTTTTTCTGCGTAGCTCAGGCTGGCCTCGAACTCAGAGATCCACCCGCCTCTGCCTCCCAGAGTGCCGGGATTAAGGGTATATCATACCACCACCTGGCCTAACATTCTAACATTCCACTAATTTATGTTATTGACCAGGAAACTGAGGCACTGCAAAGCACCTTGCCCTAAGGCCATACAGTTAAAGCTAATAACCCATATTGGCACTAGAGACCATACAGATTTGCACGGAGAGCTCCCCTGCTCTCTGCTAATGGGCCCCTCCCTCGAGGCTATTATTGCACCCACCTTGTTGAAGCTGTCCACCAGTGCCCGGCAGGTATGGCATGGATGGGGCTCAATTCGGGGAGAAGAATGGGGAGGAGGAGAGGGCTGGAGCCAGACAGGTCCTGGGAGGCTCAGAAACAGACTCAAGCTCCAAAGCAGGGATGGGACCAGGCCCCTGAGGGGCTGTGGGGCCATCTTTTCCCAGGCTGGGGACGGGTAGAGAGCAGGGGGAGGGTTCACTGGAGAAGCCAGGCTGTAAGGAGGAAAGCGAGGGCTCGGTTCTGAAGTGCCTGGGGGCTGAGAGCCCCAGACCTACGTAATTACAAATGAGGATGAATTGGGGTACTGGAGGCAAAGGCGCTGGGAGGGGAAAGGAGCCTAATCTACAATTCCAGGAGAGAAACTATTTCTCCGTTACCGTAGTGGGGGAGGTGGCCGGGATCGCAGGCAAAAGGATGGGCGTCAGCCCATTGTTTTGGGGTCTCAGTGAGTTATTAGGGGCCAGAATTAGAGAGAGAGGGTTAGATCCCAAAATATTCCGAGAGAAAGGCGGCTGGGCGGTCTTGGGGGAGGAGCCCGGATCCGGATATGAAGAGAAGGGGTCAAGTTGAGAGCCTCTTCGGAAGACGGAGGCACAGCCTGGAACAGGCCTGGGAGGATCCAAACCCGGCTAGACCGTAGAAGAGGAATTAAAAAAAAGTCCCCGCCCCCACCTGGGGCGTTGTGGGCCGAGTCTTCTCCAGGCCACTTCCTCCGTAAGAAGTCCAACGCCGCAGTCCGAAGGGCAGAGCCTCCTCCCAGCCAATGAGGGGCGGCCATGTGCCATTGCGTCATCCCACCCCAACCAACCAGAAGCGGCTCCAGGCTGCACCTGTCCCGGCATTAAAGGGCCGCGGGGTTCAAGGCTCTGCTAGCGGTTCCGCAGGACAGACACGCGAGGGTTACTGGGCTGGGAATACTGAGTCAGCCTTTATTCGAGGGCAGGGCAAGGACCCGGGTCCCGTTCCTCGCCGCGGCCCGGGGCTCCCGAGAGCGAAGTCCAACAGTCCACGGCCGCCCGCAGGGCCTGGGCCACTCGCTCCGCCCCGTCCCCGGGCCGCCCTGGGCACGGGCTGCAGCCTCTCTGCAGCGCGTCCAGGAAGCCCGGCAGCTGCGAGGGCAGGGAGAAGAGCGGCGCGGCGCGGAAAGGGGCGGGCACGGTGTCGGGGTGCAGCAGCCCGTCGAAGTAGACCCCGAGGTAGCGGCCGGCCGCCCGACCTTGCAGGAAATCGGGCAGCACGCAGCTGAGCCAGGCGGAGAGCGCGTCGTGCGGCCCCGCCTCCACCGTCTGGTGCTGGAGCCACAGTTGGCACTGCGCCACGGCCGCGGGCGAGAAGAGCAGGATCACCACTCCATCCTCCTGCAGGGTCCGCCGTCGCTGCCCGTGGAACCAGGCCAGGGCCCCGTGCGCGCTCAGCTCGCGGCGGCTCCACAGGTCCACGACCACGCGCAGCGGCATCTGGCTCAACGCGGATGCCAGCGCGCCCACCAGACGCTCGTAGCCCGCTCCGTCTGCTGAGTGGAGGAGCAAGGCCGTGCGTGCCCGAGGGGCCGCTGTTGGGATAGTGGAACCCGTGAGGGTGAGCCCGGACCTGCCTTCCCTCCATCCATTGGAGCCCAGCGTCGTCCTTTGGGGCTGTCCCTGGGAAACCAGGACAGGAGAACACTTACCTTTCGTGCGGTCCTTTTTTAAGAGGAAGAAGAAGAAAAGTGCCGCGGCCAAGAGTAGGCAGGTCAGCCACACCAGGACCCAGCGCTTATGCGTGTCTGGGATAGACAGGGAAGAATAATGGGCTAGTTAGAAACCTTCCATCTTTCACTCCACTTTACGGAGGAGGAAAACTGAGGCCTATAGACATGAAGTGACCTGCCACGAGGTCACAGTGTCAGCCCGTGCACTGAAGGAGCTCCATGGATCTGGGTGGCCTGTCTCCTCTTATGCCTATAAATTTAAAATAATGATACCAAATGCATAGGGTTGCATGTAAAACACTTAACGGTGCCAGGCCTTGTAAGTGTTTGGATATTATTAGCTGATAGTGCCCCTTAAGCCTTGGGTTTCAAGCCCTTAACCCTCCTGTCTTGCATGACTGCAGTAGCTTCCTGACTAAGCCCCCATCTTTCTGCCTTCAGTCCATTCACTCTACAGGTAGCCTCCAAGATCTGTTTAAAATAGTTTTATTCTAGCCTTTGAAGAGGCTGGTGTTGTTTGGAACATAAAATCCTACTGAGCCTCCCATTTCCCAAGACCCTGCAGCCACACTGACAGCCTTGGAAATTCTCAGAACTGTCCTCGATGGTCTTAAAAATTCAGCTTGACTTTTTTCAACTAGCTCAGACTTCAAAATGTGTCTGGGACCTTTCCCTTGAACCCTTCATCCCACCCAGGCCAGGTTCCCACTGTGTTCATTCACTGCACTGAACCCTTTACGATGCTCAGGGCTTCCTTAGCTGGCACTATTGTAAGATCACACTTGGAAACACTCAACAGCTCACACTAGACTTCTGTTGGTGGGGGCAGGTGCTGTTTGTAGTGATGCGGGGATCCCTGAAATTGTGTCTTCAAGTCCCCCCTCCCTTGAAGGGCACACATGCCATAGAGCTTGTGTGGAGGTCAGAGGACAGCTCCAAGGAGTCAGTTCACGTGGGTCCCAGGGAACTCAGGTCAGATTTGGTGGCAAGTGCTTTTACCAGCTGAGACATCTTTCTGCCTCTCTGTGGTTTTTGAATGAATAAAGGAATGCCACTGTGATCTATTTGAGCCAGCAGCACATATGTCGCCTCAGCACCGTGGTCCCTGTCAGAGTCAGCTGCCAGTACATAGGAAGAGCAGGCAGTTCCTGACATACTCACACTTGTCCATGGGGCAGGCCCATAGCGCTCCCAGGTTATCATCACTCCACAGCTGTAAGACACAACGCCACAGTCCCCTGCTTGGTGTTCAACAGCTAATAATTTCTGGCCAACCTGTCCAAATTCCTGTGCATACTTCCCGGCCCAGAGCAGTCTCCTCAAAGCTGTTTCTAGAGCCTAAGAGTGGGGGTGTGTATCATTTAACTGGACTCTAGCCAGAAGTGAGCACCTGAGGGGCAGGAACGACATGCCCCTACCCTTTACCCACCCAGGGCTACGCATAAAACAAGCAGACACATGTAGGCACTAGGGCAAGTTCTGTCACCGACTCACCTGCATACACTGCTGTGACCGGAAGTCTTGCAGTAACTGCTCTCCAAGGCGAGCAGCTCTCTGCCAAGTCAAGGGAAGGTGGGGAGGGGTCTGTCACCTGGAGCAGCATGTAAGGTGCCGCAGCAGAGCAGAACTGTTTGCTGAGAGGAGCTGGGAGACTTGAGAGGCCACTGAGAAAGTACACACACACACACACACACACACACACACACGTTTGCACAATGGCACACAAACGCTGGCATGCATGCGCGCGCGCACACACAGACTTCCCAGAGAGCAGTACTAGGCCTGACAGAGCAATGGCACAGTAGGGCAAGGTGGGATGGGATGAGTGAGGATGCAAGAGTCTGAGGCCAGGGTTGAGACAGGGCTGGAGGAAGGTTCCTTGCTCCTCACCGTGGAGGCGATGCTGGGCAGTGGTGTGCAGCCGCTGGGCTCCAAGGCACAGACCGATGTGTTGTTCAGGCCAGTCTTCATCTCCACCAGCAGCACATCATCCCTGAAGGGCCCCAGGGAGTCTGAGATGAGGGAGAGGCCACTTAGGACCCACTCGGGAGTTGCCACTTTCAATCCTCCCATGCCATGGTCTTCACTCCCGGAGGCCAGCCTCTCCATGGTTTACCCCATTGCAGTGGCCCTGTCCCAGCCACCCTCAAGCCCCACTCACCAGCCCACAAGCACTCTTGGAGCTGAACCTTCTCCCAGCCTCTCACCTGCTTAGAAGGAGCCAGAGTTAGGAGCGCTGAGAAAAGCAAGAGCCAGGGAGGGAAACTCCAAAAGGGAGGGTGCAGGCAAGAGGAGGCCCAGCAGGCCGGCTCTGCGCTCGGGACCTGAGGTCAGGCAGATCTGAGTTTACTGCTGCAGGATCAGGAGTCACCCACCTTTCTCAGACCAGGCCTTGTGAGGACACCTGTGCTAACAGCTTACAAACGTACAGCGTAGATCTCTTTCTGTCTTAAGGAGGCACTTGAAACATCCAGCCCCTCCTCATCTGACACCTCGAAGAGGAGATTCATTCTCACTCTCACCCAGTCACCAACTGAAAATCACAATCTCCATTCCTTCACCTTTACCATAGCATCTGATTTCACCCTGACATGTTGTTTAGCTATAGCACACTCTTCTCGTTCCTTCATGAGAAAAAGGCTCTGTGATAATAGGGACATTTGTTGGTTTTGTTCACTGACAAATCTATCTCAAAGTGGCTGGTACATAGTAGATAGTCAATAAGGCTGTTTTGTTTTGATTTCGTTTTGAAACAGTCTCATTCTGTACCAATCTGACCCTCAGCCCAATGTTTCTGGTCACCGTTCTCACCTGGACACAGAGGTTGGGGTGATGTCTCACCAGTGGGAACTCCTGCGACTTCTGTAGAAGGCAGGGAATAAGTGAGATCATAAAGGGAAACTCTAGGGTCCCACTTTCTCTCTCCACCCTTCGACTTCACTTACGTTCACAGTGACATTCCCCGGGAGCATTGGTGGCACTAGTGGCTGGCAGGGACCCTGGTCTGGTGCCTGCCAGCACAGCACCACCTTAGCCAGCAGAGAGCATGGTGCAGTTAGCTGCCAGATCCCTGGGGACAACAGCTGCAACTTGGCTATGTGCCAAAGGTTCCGGTGTGCACGGGGATCTGCAACAGAGGACCAGGGTCTCTACACACAAATCATCCCACTTTCCCATACTGCTCCCTGCCTTGGGAGATTTGCTTACCTTTCTCGAAGGGGCAGAAACTGGTCCTAACAGAGTCTGGCTCCAGGCGCCACACCTGGGAATAAAGGGGTTCTACTGGGCCACCTTAACCTAGCCAACCACCCATGAGCATGTGTTAGACCCTCTGCTGGACGCTAGGACCCTTTCCCTGAGGCAGGTCACCAAGCACTCATCGGGTTTCCTGTCCCTTACAAAGCTCTAGAGGTGGGCATACGGGGTCTCTCAGCAAACACTGCAATGTGAATCTTCTCTCAACTTGGGGGAGGGGTTGTTTTTGGAAACAGGGTCTCATTATGTAGCCCTGGGCTGTTACTCACAGAGATCCACCTACCTCTGCCTCCTCAGTGCTGGAATTAAAAGGATGCACACTTCAACTTTTAATGAGTATGGTATACACAAGGGGCCTTAGATTATTAATTTTGGTTCATTTCACAACCATTTTATGAATACCTACTGTGTATCAATACTGCGGTAGGTTTTTAGAGTACCTTCTATGTGCTTAAACATATGCTGTGAGAAAATAGTATATTCATCAAATGTTTGAGAGTGGTGGGCATTAGACATGGCGATGCAGAAGGTTAAATCACAGCAAACATTTCCTGAACATCTGCCATGCATCTAACCAATGTGTTTGGAAATGGGCATTTGTTCATTCACCTACCCAGTCAACAATTAGCACTCACTGTATGCCAGGTTCTGTCCAGGGCTCTGGCAAAGTTACTGTGTTTATATGAGATATGCTTTGCTTGCTTCCAAGGAAGTCACAGATTCACAGTAAGAATGAAAAATGTAAATGTTAGTTACCTACTTTCAAATATTCACTGAGCATCTTATGTATACAAAAATAAATTAGAAGCCCAGATGTTAAAGGAAGTGACCCGTGGACAAGAAAAGCCAGAAGGACAAGGGGATTTGGAACAAAGAAAGGACAGACCACTGGACAAGCTTTGGGAAAGAGGAGATGTGAGCTGGGAAGATTTGATTACATGGAAGAAGTGGTGGGAGCAGCCTGAGCAAATGCAGGGTGGGTGAGTCTTGGTCAGCAGCTCTGCTAGACACAGCAACCTTCTCATAAAGGAGATTTTAGGGGAAAGTCTAGTGGGAAAGGGTGAGCTGAGGGAAGACAGAAAGGCACTGGGAAGGCAGGTAGGAGGTGGAGGTTACTGAGTGCCTAAAGGAGGGATTATAGAGGCCTGAACGGACGATGGAGAGGAGGGAGAAAGAATGAGGAATACAGAGGTCACATGAATGGGACTTGGTGACTAATTTAATGTGCAATCAGAGGGAGTGGCTGCAGTCAATATATTTAAACCTAGATGTGGCACCCTTCTTTACAGCAGCCCAATGATGGCACATTTTATCCAGATTACAGATAAGCAGCAGGCTGGGGTGGGGAGGGGAAAGTGGCTCACCCAAGGTCATACAGCCAGTAAATAGCAAGGACTGATGCTCATTTAAGTACATTTTAAGTGTCCCACCCTTCAGAGGAGCACAAAGAGGGGACTAGAAGAGCAGAAGGCTTCAAGGAAGAGGTGACATCTGAGTGGACCATGAGCCATAAGGAACAGTCCTGTGGATAAAGTACTAGGAGGAGTATTCTGGACACATTCTAAGCAGAAGGCACGGGACAGCAAAAGTGAAGAGACAGCCAGCCACCCAAATGGCCATGTTCTCTACCCCAAGGTATGGAGAACAGTGGCTCCAGAAGATTAGAGGCCACCCCTCTGTACCTCCCTAGCCCCTGTCTCCCACGTGCAATTGGATTCTACTCCTACCTGAACGCAGAGGCAGGGTACCAGGTCTGTGTGGTTTAGAGTAATGGTCTGTGGTCCAGTCTGTAGGATGAGCAGATGGAAGTGAGCTAAGAGAAGACACGGAGAGGAAGTGGGGAGACGAAAAGTCCAGGGAGCCAAGCAGATAGACCCTTCCCCAGCCAAGGTCCTCTGCTTTGGGTGTGTCCCCTCTGACAGCCTACACATCCTTAGCATGGGCATCAACACGGGGTGAACATGGACCTAGAGGAGAAGCCTCACCAGGTTTTTGTACCACAAGGATTTGAGAGGACCCTGGACCCGATCCCAGTACAGTAAGAAGCCAAAGTCCTGGTCCTCAGAGACATCCAGTACCAGAACATTGTCACCATCTGTAGACACATTGAGCCAAGGCAGAGCTGATGGGAAAAGCAGAGAGAGAAAGGAAAGTTCAGATTCACTTCATCTTTTCTGCACAGCTAAGCCATACTCACCAACTGTCCCATTGGTGATTCCATCAAACCCTCAGACTAGGAGGGCCTTGGAGGACAGACTGTATCTCCATCTCAGACCTGGCTTTGTCCCCAGCCACAAGCCCAGAGCCAAGCCCAGAGGGCCTCCAGCTTACATCTTAGGACAGTTCTTCTGCAGCCAGTAGAATCCTGCTACTTGCTTAATGCAAATCACTTTCCTGAGACTTATGCCCTGCCAGAAAAAGCTAGTTTTTACAACAGCTTGCAAGACTTTAACCAGTCTGGTTTCTGAGACCTCTCTAACTTCATCTGTTAGTTCCTGTTTCTTGACTACTTTGCTGCAAATAGACAAGGCTCCTTCATGTTTCTTAAGCACACTTGATCTTGCTTCTGCACCAGGGCCTTTGCACAGGCTGTTCTCTTCCTATGGAACTCGGCCTCTCAAATACAGAGCTCCTCTTTCACATCCTTCGCCACAGCGAGGCCATCTCACTGCTGCACCTCCCAACCTTCCACCCCCTCTCTTGAATTTCCTCCATAACTCTGGTCACCATCTAGTTTATGGCTTACTTTACATTTCCACGGGCTTATCGGATCTTCCCTCAACCCTTCCCTAACCCCAACTCCCATTTCCATAAAGACAGGAAGTTTCAGCAGGTTTGCTGATTAAATTATTTCCGGTCTGTGGCTATGTCTGGTACAGAGTAATTCTTCAGTCAATCTTTGTTGAATAAGGAAAGCAATCACCACTGAGTGATGAGCTGAGATGTCCGGTGTGCGTGCGTGTTTTCAAAGCTCTGGTGTCTAGTGATCTTTATGGATTTCCAAAAAAGAAGGCCAAAAAGAAAACGGAGTTGAAAAGAAGAAAGGATATTTAATAGTTTAAAAACTGCCACATGATTTACACCTTCACCTTGTGCTGGCTGTAAAAGTTATGTTGACACCAACACACTGAGCCAGATGTGGTGAAGCACACCTGCAACCCCAGCTGCTTGGGAAGCTGAGGCAGAAGGATCGCAAGTTTAAGCCCAGCATGGACAACATAGCAAGATCCTGTCAAAACCAAAACAACAAAACAAAACAAAAACAACCTAACCACACAACTGCTTTACTAAGGCAGACATTAAAACCAGTGCGCTTTGCTGGACAGGTTGGCACACACTCAGTCCTAGCACTTGGAAGGCAGAGGCAGGTGGATCTGTGTGCATGAGATCAGCCTGGTTGTCATTGTGAGTTCCAGGCCAGCAAGAGCTACACAGTGAGTCCCTGTCTCAAAAAAACATCATTGTAGCTATAGCTTTTTTTGTATATGCTATAAATACATGATAGATTTTCTTTAAAAAAAAACAAAAAAACAAAAAAAAAAACCAAAACCAAATGTACATCAAAGTCTTTACTTTCTTGGTCCCTATTTCAGGTTTAATAACATTTCCACTTTGATCTATGAAGAAAGGCACCAGAATCTTGACAGTGCTTTGGGACACTAGACGTTCCTGGTTCTGATGAACACTTATTATATGGAAATAATTCATCTTTATATTTCCAATTCCTGGCACAGATGAAGTAACTACTGTAGTTCATGTGGAATGAGTGAATGAATGAGTATGCCTGTGACTTTTGGAACCTAGCATCCCTGAGCTGAAGAAGCATCCAATTGTGTGAAGTCCAGATCCTGCTCCTCCCTCCACCCAGCCTGCTGTCCCTAGCCCCTACCCCAGCAGCTCTGGATGCTGTCCCGGACTTCGTGACCCCTGCAGTCTGGGGAGAGATCACAGAAAAACCTCCAGTGGGGCTGGGAACCAAGGAAAGAAGGGATGCAGTCTAACCCATGGGGCAGTTCTGAGAGGGGCTGCCTGTCCCCTGAAGACCACCCACACTTACCCTAAGGGCTAGGCACACAAGAAACTGACTAAGGAGGGTGCCAGCTCAGATCCCTGCCTGAAAGTGATGGGACTAGGAAGACAGGGGGTGGCCAGAGGAACCACAAACTAGGGTACCAGGGCTTTGGGGAAACTTACCAGGCAGCTGCTGTGTTAGGTTGAGTTCTTTTTGGTACCTGGGCTGTGTGTAGGACCAGATTTGCACCTCAGCCCCAAGAGCAGCCTCGAAACAGTCGAATACTGCAGAGCCCTATGAGGAAAGGGTGGTGGAGGGCTGGGGATAGACTGCTCAGGATCCAGACCAAGATCTTGGGCTCATATGGATGGACGACTCTGCTCAGCCACCGGCCACATTTCCAAAGACTGCATTTATTCTATCTAGCTTGAAATCTATCACGAGAGTTTCCTTTTTTTGAACAGGTCCCCAGTTCTAAACCAAATATCTTCTGTAGCTGTATTGGCAGGCCTGGGATTAACCATTCGATTTGAGTTACTGCCTACACCTGCTGTCGCAGACCATTTGGCCAGAGGGAAGCTGACACCTGAATGGCGCTCATGGCTGCTTTGTGAAGTAGACTAAGCAGATTTTTAAAAATTGTATGTGTATTGTGTGTACTGTATGTGTGTGTTGCTGGGAATCAAACCCAGGGGCTTGAGCATGTTAGGCAAGAACTCTACCACTGAGCTACATCACAGCTCTTCGTTGTTATTGTTGTTGTTGTTTTTTCTAAAGACTTAGTTAGTTAGTTAGTTAGTTAGTTAGTTAGTTAGTTAGTTAGTTAGTTATTTTGTATCTACATATACCTGCATGCCAGAAGAGGGCACCAGGACACATTATAGATGGTTGTGAGCCACCTTGTGGTTGCTGGGAATCGAATTCAGGACCTCTGGAAGAGCAGACAGTGCTCATAACCACTGAGCCATCTCTCCAGCCCCCAGCTTTTTGTTGTTATTTTATAAAGTTATCAAAAATTTTAAAGGAAGTTATAAATAGCCAGTAGGCATGTAAATTTATCTGACCCTGTCAGTCATCAGTGATATACAAATTAAAGCTGTAAGGAACGTCAAACACAGTGGCATGTCCCTGCAGTGCTGGTACTTAGGAGGGTGAGGCAGGAGGATTTCAGTAAGATCTGGTCTAATAAAAACAAGGGCTGAGGATGGAGCTCAGCAGTAGACTGTTGCTTAGCACATACAAAGCCTTCGGTTCCATCCCCAGCCTGCCCCTCCCCTACACTTGTATACACAAACCACCAACAGAAACACCAGCGCTGAGCTGCCTGAATGCTCAGTAGATAAAGGGCTTGCCACCCAGCCTGACAACCTGAGTGCCATCACCAGGACTCTCGTGGTAAAAAGGAGAAAACTGATTCTGTAAGTTGTCCTCTGTCCTCCGTATGAACCCACCCCCCCAGGATACGTACGTACATACATACATATGTAAATACACACAATAAACAAATGCAGTTTAGAAATACAAACACTACCACCACACACAGGCACACACAAATCCCCAGTTACAAACCATGACACGTAGAGCAGAATGGCTAAAATTTAAATTTGAAGATGCCAAGTGCTGGCAAAGACGGAAGTCACTGGAAGCCCTATTTGCTGCCAGCAAGAGTATGAAATAAAATGGTCCCAGATAACTGCTTAGTGATTTCTCACCGTGTGAGGCACGGATGTTCTTACCCTCACTTTATAGACAGAGAAACCACCACAAAAGGCTGAGGGGGCTCACTGCTCAGATCAGATCCAAGACTTAAGGAAACAATGCATGAGATTGTTTTGGGAGCCTCGTATTCCAAAGGCTCCTCAGGCGGAGCGCTTCACATACCACAGACTGACCAGGCTGCACCAGGACAGCAGGCACCTGAACCTCCAGCAGGGCACAGCGGGCGGTGGGGTAGGCCTGGAAGGAGAGTACCACCTGAGCCTGGAGAGAGCCTGTGGGCAACAAGCTGGGGTTAGCCATGGGCCGTGGGAAAGATTCCGACAAGAAGCAGCCACCGGGCCAGCGGGCTCCTCACCGTTCCTGGGCTCCTGGGGTTCTGAGTCAGACTTCACAGCTTCTTCAGGCTCTTCCCAGTGCCCTGCAAGGAACAGGGACCAGAGCAAAGCCTAAGCAACCCAGGTGCCTGCTCTGGACGGGTTCAGGCTTAGACTCCCTTCCAGAAATGCCATGGCTGGTAAGGAGAGGCCTGGGGGAAGAGCAGGCTGGCCTGGGGGTGGGGGTGTCCGGCCAGTGTCTTAAACACTGCAGATGCCCACAGACTCTGTAGTCTTCATGCCTTCCCCAGGCACTCTCACGTGTGCACATGAAGTCATAGAACTCCTTACCGTGCACAGCCAAATGCACAACCACACGAACACAGAGGGCACAGTCCGTCTCCTGTGGACACCTCAGTACCAGCTCCGTCTGCAGGTGCGTAGGCACTAGCACAGGGCCTGGGGCGGACTCGATGCTTCCAGGCAGGCACAGCACGTCACCATCTGGGTGTGAAGGGTGGGGTGGGAGCTGAAGCAGTTCAGAGCCTGGTTTCTGATACCTCCAGAGGGCAGGGGAGCTCAGCCTTTCCAGGCTAAGGGTGAATAGATGCTTTCCCTTCAGCTAGCCTGGTAGGTTCTCTCTTTCAAAGTAGCAATACTTACCCCAAAGGTGGCAGGAGAGGCCCTGAGAAGGAAGAAAAAGTCCGTTTACACCCTCAGATCTAAGCACCTTCTCTTGCTTGACAACCCTTATCCCCTGCCTGCTTCCTTCTGAGCTCCCTATTCTAAGCCTTTCCCTGAAGACAAGGCTAATTCTTGTCCCCTTACCATCTTCTCTTCCCCATCAGCACCAGCCAGACCAGACAGGGCAGTTCTGATAGAGGCAGTGACAGGAGCCAGACTAGGGCTGTGATGAGGCACACACTGAACTGAGCCTTCCCAACCTCACAGGATCCCGGACTCACTAGAGAGCAGCGTGCAGTGTCCTGTGTCTCCAGGAGCCTCTCCAGAGAAACGACCACAGGGCTTCGGCCCAGTGCCAAGGACAGCAGGAACCAGGACACAGGCATCTTCCAGGTGCTAGACAGCACCCAGGCCTGAGGCCCTGTCCTGCCCCCACAGGGGGGGCAGACACCCCACCCCTGCTGCCAATCACCCCCGTGTCTGTGGGAGAGAGCAAGGGCTAGAATTCCTCTCCAGCCATGCTTTCCCACTTCAGTGAGCTGGGACTCTGGGCCCAGTTTCAACTGGAGTGCTTTCGGTTTGGCTCCCAGCAGGCAGCGGCTGTTCCCGCCCCGCCCTGTCCCGTCCCTCCCACAAACTCCAGGCTTAGGAGCCAGCAGCTTTGGACCGGGATGGTGGCCTCTCCTCCTTCTACTTGGCTGACACCTGGCTGGGAGGAGCCCTGGGAGGGCACTGCCGCTGGAGTCTCAGCTGAGTGAGGGAACCCTTACCCTGGATCTCACTAGAACCAAAGGCTCCGACTGAGAAAACACCAGACTTGTGGCATCCTGGGTGTTTCCACTTCCTGTATGACCTTGGGATCCTCTGGTCCCCTTTATCTCCATTTACTGGATGCCTAAGTTCTTCATATCCTTCTCTGTTCCTCACTGGCACCAGAAAGTGAGCTGTTCCCTACTGCCTGGCCTAGGTTCAAGGGACATGGAGAAGCAGGCAGGGCCTGGGAAACCCAGAGCTCGGAAGAGGTTCTGTTGTGCTGTTGCTGGGACTAGAGGAGTGGGGATGGCCTGCTGCCAGCTGAACTTCAGGTTTTCCTTTGCTCCTGGGAGAATCATATCGAGGAGAGGATCCACGAGGTACTGGGTCCTCCTTGCCTTTCACAGGCAATGCTTGTGGGAATGAGGCCACTGATGACAGTGAGTGAGAGGGCTTGGGCTGGTGAGCTGTCCTACAAGCCTAGGGCAGGCTTCCTGACAGGCCCAGGCACACAAGAGCAGCATGCTGTGTTCCTTAATTTATCTACTATGTTTGCTTTTATTCATCTCTCCGGACGAAAGAAAACCCTCTCTCTCACCAATTGTGGTGGCTCAAGCCTTCAATCCTAGCACTCAGGAAGCAGAGGCAGGTAGATCTCTCTTTGTTCCAGGCCTTCCAGGGCTACACAGCGAGACTCTATCTTAAACAAACAACCAAAAAACAAAATCAAACAAGAAAACAAATCAAACTACGTCTGGATAGCCCTCCCTGCCTGGGAAAGGGTGAGGGACCCCTGGCTTACAGGGGGGATTCTCTCAACTCTGTGGAGCAGAACCCCCTTCAAGACCTTGACAGATAGATCCTCCTTCCCAACCCTGGCCCAGCTTTCCAGCCCAGACTGGGACTAGGTATACAATACAGATGGCTGTCCTTTTTGCAGTTTTGAAAAGAAATTAAAAAAAAAAAAATGCCCCTTTTTCTCAGAAAGGGCTGAGGACCTATCAGGAAAGCTCAGCTTTCTCTCAGGGACTCTGAGAGGAAGCAAACGTGAGAGGGAGGCTGGGGAAATGTGGGCTACGGTTTTGGAGGCAAGAAGCAGCCCCAAAGAGTACAAGTTCAGGCTGGAGAGATGGCTCAGCGGTTAAGAGCACTGAGTGCTGTTCCAGACGTCCTGAGTTCAATTCCCAGCAACCACATGGTGGCTCACAACCATCTGTAATGGAATCTGATTCCCTCTTCTGGTGTGCATAAAAACAAAGTGTATGTTCATACACATACAATAAATAAATAAATCTTAAAAAAAAAAAAAGAGTACAAGTTCGAAGACTAATTCTGGAGTTCCAGCCTTTGCTACACGGGCTACAGACAACTGGAACCGCAGGGGCTATCGGTTGAGCCTTGGTGGTCAGCTTCGGCAGCCTCAAGTTCCAGCCGGTGACACAAGTCCACGCGGCTTTGCAAGCACTGCTTAGACCCAGGGTGGCTCCAACTGGTGGCTAGGGTGGCAGGCCGAGCATCCAGCGCCCTCAGCAGGCGCGGCAGGTCACGAAGCAGGCGGTAGCGCGGCAGAGCACGCAGCGGCCGGGGGATGTCGCCTTTGGCACAGAGCCGACTGAAGTAGGCGAGCAGCAGCCGGCGTGGAGCAGCGCAGAGCAGGCTGTGAAGAGACGCAGCTTGCAGGTCGCCGCTGCAGGCGGCTCTGGGGCCTGCACAGCTCCACAGCAGCAGCACGGTGCCCTGCTCCCGCGCCACACGCTCCCGCGCCGCCCAAAGCCATGGCAGTGGTCCAACGCGAGCCACGTGCGTCCCCTCCCAGAGATCCACGATCACGTCGCGCTTGCCGCCCAGCGCGGTCCGCAGCAGTTCCGCCAACGCTCCCACCAGGCGCCGCTGTGCCTCTGAGTCCGCTGCGTGCAGGAGTAAAACTGGCCGTGCTTGGTCCGGGCCTGGAGACCAGAGCAACAGCTGAGTAGGGTGAGAAGAAGGGGTGGGGGGCGGGGAGACGACGACAAGGGACAGGACACAGAGATAGCTCAGTCCTCCCCCTCAGTCCTCAGTCTGGCCTACCAACTACACTCTAGGGCGCCCTGCATGCACTCTGTGTCCTTTATCTGTTATGGGAGTCAGTCTCCCAAACTGCGGACTTCCAGTGCACAGCAGCCTGGATTGTAAACAACCCCCCCTCGTCCCCCCCACACTCCCGGCCTCTTGCAGCTTGGTGGTACAGATACACTCTGCATCCACAGCCCTTTGCCCTGCCTTAACCAGCCCTGCCCATTAGGGGGCCTAGCAGTCTATGTTTTGGCCCTAGCTTGGTCAAGAGGTGCTGGAAACATCTGAATCCACGACGACGGGACCTGAGCTTACCTGACAGTAGGCGCCGGTAGAGGAGGACCAGAACTATGCCCAGTAGAGTGGTGAGGCCCAGCAGTGCCAGGATCAAGAGCCCCAGGTGTCTATGGGAGACTGAATGGAGCAGGTGAAGGCAAACCATCTCTCGAGTTCCCGAGCTCCCTCCCTCCTCTCACCCAAGGACTCACCATCAGGACACAAGAGATGCTTCCAGGCAAACTGGACATCCGACCTCCACACCTGAGGACACAGGACCCCCACTCATGTGAGCTAAAGCACCCCCTTTCCTCCCAGGAAAGAAGTACCCACTGGCTTGGGAATTCCTCCAGCTCTAGTTTTGTGCCTGATACAATCCCTGGACTGACACAGAACAGGCCAAGGGGGCAAATACCAGTGAGACCACCGCAGCTCCCACAGCTGACCTGGGCTGGAGAGCATAGAGCAGCTGAAATAGCCACCAGCGAGAGCTAGGCCTTGCCACCACACCTGGTTGTGGGCCTGTGGCAGGTGTTCTCCCTTTTTTATGGGAAGGCAAAATATGAGTGTTTTATTTGCTTTGCTTTGAAGATAACATAACTAGTGACTGCTAATTCCAATTTTAAACACTTGTCCAGAGCAAACACTTTTATGGACTCTGTGCCAGGGGACCTGTGAGGAGTAAGGGTAGGATTTCTTACCAAGATGCAGCTCCCCGGCCTCAAGAAGGGAATGATGAGGTCTAGCGTCACTGGGACTGAGCCGTGAGTCTATAGGGACAAAGAGTAGAATGGCTGTTCCATTTATGCAAATTTTATAATGTCCCACCCACCTACGTAAAAGACTTCCCCAGACACCCCAATCCCCACTGCTCTTCCACAGGTATTTTTTTTTAAGATTTATTTATTTATATACTATTCTGCCTGCATGTGTGCCAGCAGACCATAAGAGGGCACCATATCTCATTATACTCATTATAGATGGCTATGAGCCACCATGTGATCACTGGGACTTGAACTCAGGACCTTTGGAAAAACAGCCAGGGCTCTTAACCTCTGAGCCATTTCTCCAGCCCTTCCCTAGATATTAGCTGCTGTGGCTGAGCTAACCTGCACACACACACATACACACACACACACTCACACACACACACACACACACAGTGCCGCTCTGAGGAAGACGGTGGGAACAGCCAAGTGTTTGTCCTGCAGCGCGAGTGCATCTTTTCACTCCCCTACACAACCGAGGAGACATCTTGTTCACTGGGAAGACTGAGCTGCTGGGGGCCTGGATTGAGGCTTGACTATTTTCTAGTTCTAGGTTTGTGACCTTTCCATAAACTTGGATGACACCTCCTCCCTCCCCAGCCTCAGAGTCTTTATTTGCATATGAGGGACAATAAATGTTAGTGAGTTACTGGGAGCATTAAATGGAAATATGCATATGGATGCCTTTAATAAACTGGTGTGTGTGTGTGTGTGTGTGTGTGTGTGTGTTAGAAGTAGCTGTCATTAGGCTAAGAAAAGGAGGACAAAGCTTGGACTGTATGCTCTTCTTAAACCTTCTGGAGCATAATACAGGGTGGGTAGGGCAGGCACTCAGGAAGTATGTACTGACTCTGAAAGAACTGATGGCTGTTTGTCTGCAGATGAGATGTGGCTCCACTGTGTCCTACATGTTAGTTACAGTGCTGACCAGTCACCTCCACCCTTTAGGAGCTCCACCTACCTCACACTCTGTACCCTTTTCCTGCCTGACTCCACTCTTGAAGCAACTGTCAAGCACGTAGATACTCTCACATCATAAGTGTTTGCTACCCTCTGTCTGGGAGCCCATAGGGCTCAAGGCAATAATCTAGCTGCAAGGGAGCCCTTGAGGGAGGACTGTAGAGAGTGCGGCATGCTTGGTCAGCTTAGAGCCATGGTTTCGAGAGTATATCTGATTGTGGTTTTTAAGTCAGATACACAGAACAAAGTCAGTTAGTCTGCCTGATCTTAGATCACATGATGGAGTTACACCAGGGCAGCACTGTCCTGTGAGCCTTTCAGCTTCTGGGGGTCTCTGGAAAGTTGGTGAACTTGTAGTGCCTTGTGAAAGCATGAGACCTGGGAAAAGACAGCAGGGGTGAGGGGTGGCATCCATATGCATTGCAGGGCTGAGGAAATGACTCAGAAAGTGCACTTTCTGTGCAAGCATAAGCACTTGAGTTCAAATCCTAAGCATCCAGATTAAAAAAAAAAAAAGAGTAGGGTGGTGATGGCACAGGCCTTTGATCCCAGCACTCAGGAGGCAGAGGCAGGCAGATCTCAGAGTCTACAGAGAAAGTTCCAGGACAGCCAGGGCTACACAGAGAAACCTTGTCTGGGGACAGCATGGCTGTGTATTTGTGCAACCCCAGCATTGGGAGTCAGACAGGTGAATCTCAGGACCTCACTAGACCACCAACCTAGATGGAAACAACAGTCTCCTGGTTCAACAAAAGATCTTGTCTCAAAGGAATGAGGTAGAAAGCAATAGAGGACCTCTGGCCTCTTCTTTCACACTCAAAGGCTTGACACCTACATACACAGATGCATACACCACACAGACAATGTGATAGCAGCTTCAGTGGCCCGGAGAATAGCTGAAGGTGGGAGTGCCGGCCTCCTGGCTCTATTCTCTCTGTAAACTGAGGCACTGAAAGGCTGAGGAACTCCCCCATGAAGGACCCCACAGATTGACAGAGGACCAGTAATCCAAGGCTGATCAAGTAAATAATTTATGACAGATGACAGACAGGCTTTTTTTTTTTTTTGCCTCCACCCACACAGGGGCTGCCTCACTAAAGCAAAAGGGAAGTAGGGGATATGTGTTGGCCAAGAGAACCTGGTGGGAACCAAACCCTTACCTGGCTGATGCTGTATACAGGAGGCATCAAGGAATCCAGCCCCAAGCCTGGGTTACTCCAGGCAGCACTGAAGGTAGCATGTGTCGTCGAGGAAAAGTGAAGAATCAGTTGTTGGGCCTGGGTATCCATGCTCACAGACCAGGACGGGAGAGAGCCTGTTTTGGGGAGGTGATCAGAGCTGAGTAATGCTGGACCTAGAGGTCATGGGTGAGTGGGCTGAGATGTGGATTCCTTACTGACTCACCACTCTGGTGGGGACATTCAATATGGCTGCTGTTTTCAAAAGAAAACTGAGAAACACAGGAATGGCAGGTCAGCAAGATTCAGTCCCATTCCTCCTCCCACTGCCAGCCCCCTGCCCATGATTGTACCTTAAAGCAGAGCTGGGGGTGTAAGTCCACACTCTCCAGGACATACCACTGTTGAGGAGATGGAGGTTAGTCAGGGAGAAGGTCCCTGGGCCCTAACCCTGCCCACCTCAGGCCTGGAGGGAGGTAGCTGTCCTTACTCCTTCTGACTCATGTGCTGTGGCATTGGGGAGGGTTTCGCACGGCGAGAGTGGGTCCTGCCTCTGGCAGAGGGAGGCCTCCAGTTTCAGTGGACAGCGGAGTGTCAGAGCCATGACCATCTGATTGTGCTGGCTGTAGTCAGAGAAGCGTACTGACTTCCAGAAGTCCGAACCATCTGGGCAAGTGGCAGGTCCAAGGATAAGGCCATATCGCAACTGTAGCTCCATCTCCTCACCCCCACCCCAGGGCCCCAGGAGAGAATACCAGAGTTCCAGCACACTTCCTGTCTTCGTGGGTCCTCAGCAGGTGAGCACTCCTAGACTCTACCACGCGCCTTTCTAGCCAGCCTTCTTGCCTCTACCTTTCCATCCCGGGCCTCCACGCTGAACTCCCCTTACTGCAGCCTGTGATCAAAATCTGTGCAGGCTCCTCTCAGAATCTGAATGCCTTCTCCATGGAGTCTTCTTTCTAAACCCTGTTCAGCTTGGGTGCTAGCTTCTCTGAGACCCTCTTTGCTCACAACAGTGTCCACGAGCTTCCCCTTTCCAGGCTGATGCCCTGTAGACAGCCCTTGATGACAACCCTGCCTGTGTATGTAGGCTTTGTGTTACTTGTATCTGAGTGTCCTTTCTCTCCTCAGGGTCAGCATTGTGCATACAGCAGTCCAGACAACACCAGCCACTTACCCTCAAAATACTTCATTCAAGCCCCTTAAACAGTTTGGGATTTTGCAGATGAAGGAAGGAAAGGGGGCTCTGGGAATAATCCATCACAGAGCTGGAAAGTGACCCTAGGTCTCTAGTTTGTCCTGTCACACACCACTCCTGGGTGAACCCCCCTCCCATACATCTGGGATCTTTCTCCCCTGCCACACACACACGGGGGGAGGGAGACAGAGACAGAGAGTGACAGAGAGGAGAATGAATGTGCCTCAGGACTAACACAAACAACACTCACAGGCTTCAGGCTGGGTCTGGAAGGGACACTTTTTGCGCCTCACCGTGTCCTCCTGCAGGTAGGAAGCCTGGGGAAGCAGAGTCAAGGACATGCATTTCCAACATAGTTCATTCTGGCTCTAGCTTACTAGTGGATCACTCTGGGCTGTAGGACACTAATCAGGGAGCCCTGTGGCTTAAGGGTCAGAGCTCCAGAGCATAGGGGAAAGCAGCAAATGAGGCTGACTCCTCTTGCCTCCAAAGAGAACTATTCTCAGCAACAGAGAAATCCTAAGGGCTACATCCCTCATTTTTAGGCTTTCCTGGCCTCCATTCTGGGCTTTGTCAAGGTACCCAGTGCCCTCATTCTGAACTCCCTAACAGTACATCCGTTGTCTTTCTGGCAGTTTCTTGTTTCCCCAGGTCTCTGCCTACACCCTTCTTTCAGTACCTCTCTTCCCCCTAAAGATATCAAAAACATCTTTATCTTCAGACAAGGAGAGACGGACGGCTACAGTGGAGGGCTAGAGAGGACATGACTTTGAGAAGAATGTGCAACTTTGGCTCTCAAGAATATCCAGGCAGGGTTGAGGTGAACTTGCCTAGGACCCTTCTACCTCTGAACATGTGTGGCTCACAGCCAAGCCAGAACCGGTTTCCTAAGCATCCCTGGTCCTTTCGAAGTCCCTCTTTAGGGCCGTAGGGCTTTCTCTATCACCAAATGATCTCTCCATCCTCCCTTAGTCCTCCATGAGCTGACTTACTGGAGATACGGCTGGGCAAGGAGCCATGGTTAAGCCACATTTCCTTGTGCTCACCTCTATGCACATGCAGGGCAAGAGGAATTCATAAGGCAGATCTACAGCGTGGCCCCCAGACACAATTATCTGTTGATAAAACCACAAAGGGAGAGAAAAAGAGACACCTAAGAAAGAGCATGGGCACTATGGACAAAGAGGAAGCTAAGACCTTGGACGGTGTACCTTGTCTTCCTACTTTATGAAACATTTCTTTCCCTCTCATAGGACCTTGGTAATATACTCTGGACATTTGCTTGGTGCCCTTTATGAGGAGTGGGGGATGGGGAAGGGAATGCACAGCTCTTGAGCTCCAGCTGCATGCCATGTAGGGTGTTAGGAGCATCAGCTCTACTAAAGGCTAACTTCGTCACCGTGAAGTTAGAAGGTATCGCCATTGTAGACATGAAGAGAGATGAAGGGCTCCAGAATATAGCTTCAGTCTCTGCACGTGATACCCAGCTAGGTACAGTGGCATCTGTGATGAGTGGAGGTTGAAGTGGGCTGCTAGGACATGAACTGTGAGATTAGGGGATATCACTTTCTGAGGACTAGACAAAGGGTATGGAAGGGAAGAGTAGCTAGATGCATGTAGCCATTTTGTCAAATTACCAGGGGAACAACCTCTTGAGGAAATAAAACTCTGGTTGTTTGTTTTTCTTAAGGTAGTGGCTCATGCACCCCAAGCTGGCCTCAGACTCATCATGTCTCCAAGGATAACCTTGAACATCTGATCCTCCTGCTCTACCTCTCACCCCATTTGTACAAGGATAAAGGTCAAGCATGCTAGGCAAGCACTCTACCAACTGGGCTATATCCCCCAACCCTAGCAAAGGTCTCCAACGATCCTCTCCCTGGAAATACATACCATACTCATATCTTTCTGATCCCTTCTCTCAAGTAACAGCCCTCAACCTTTTTTTAATCTAGTCTTAATGCTATATTCCTCATCTTATCAGTTTTGAACAGTTACTTTCCCTGCCTGGGCCTCAGTCTCCCCAGTTTGCTCAGGCATTGTGTGATCTATCTCTTTACATGGCATCACGCTCCATACCTGGGTATCGAAGGGACTACTCATGTCTTCACATTCCAGTGCCCACTGGTAACAAAGACGCACACTAGCCTCTGGGCCTGGAGAAACCGTCACCTGAATAGCCTGTGCCTCAAGCAGCAAATCAAAGGAGAACTCGGGTCCTAGGGAGAAGGAAGACTCGGTGACCCAGCCTCAGGTAGGGCTGACACCATGTGCTGCCATTCATCACGCCTCCCTCCACACTTTGTGAACCTGCACTAGGAAGATGTTCTACCCATTCTGCGGCTGAAGGCTGGGTTCTTTTGGAGCGTAGGCCTCTGTGGAAGATGGCTGGAAAGGGGCTGGAACTACGATGGTTTTCCTGAGACAGGGAAGGGCTGCCTAGCAGCTTCCTCTGCAAGCAGAGAACAAAGCAGTGTTAAGCCAGAAGTGCCAGAAAGCCTGCTGTCTAGTTCTGCCTTGGAACATGAGAGACCACAGGTAAACTGCTCAAGTTCTTTTGGACTCAGTTTCCCTTACTGTGTAATCTTCGCATTTTCAAACTCCCTCCTTTAGCTGGAGAACAAAGGAACAGGCAAGAAAGAAAGGGGTTGGGGACCATAGGATGGAGCTGTAAATGACAGGGTACCTGGGAGGATGCTGGAGTCCTGTGCATCCAATAGAATTCGAACTTACAAGGACTTTTAGACTTCTTCCCCAAGACAGGAAACCAGCCCCACTGAAGGCCTGTGGCGGGAGACACACTTCTTACCTAGGCATTCATGGCCTCTATCCTACCTGAAGGTGCGACCCAACATTGGGTACGAAGTCATCCTAAATCAAGGACAGCAATGATATCAAGCTTCTTTGGTGGCAAAAATCATGATTCAGTAAAAAAGAATTAAGGCTCAGAAAACACAGAATAGAGAGCAGAAAGACTGTAAGAGCCAGAAGATGAGGAGGAGCACTGTGAGGTCTCTAGACATGCCATGGCTGTTGTGTCCGTGAACTCACTGCAGCCGTGGTCACCTGCACAAGTTCTGCACAAGGTCAAGGCAGCAGGCTCAGCCAGTATTCCAGCAGGCAGTCTCACTAACTGGACTCAGGGAGTTACAAAGCAAATGAACAGAGCACAGCATGGTTGTTTTTTTTTTTTTTTTTTTTTACTTGTTTTGAAGGCAGAGACAGGCAAATCTCTTGATTTTTGAGGCCAGCCTGGTCTATTTTGCAAGTTCCAGGTGAGTTGGGACTACCCAGTGAGCCTGTCTCAAAAAGTGGAGGGGTGTGTGTGTGTGAAAAGATGACTGAACGGTTCAGAGCACTTGCTGTTCTTAGAGGATCCAGGATCGGTTCCTTACACCCACATGGTGGCTCACAACCATCTATGTCTCCAGCTCTAGGGATGTGATGCTTTCAAGGGCACTACATGAATAATATACACATATATACATGCAAGAAAAACACTAATATATGTAAAATAAATATATTTTTAAAAAGACGTGAATGTGGGACAGCTATGTATCGGTAGTTATTCATGAGGAGTGGGAGGGAGAAGTTGTGGGTGGGTTTGACCAAGATAGTGTGCATGTATGAGATTTTCAAATAATAAGTAAAAGGTATTTGGTCTCTTTTTAAAATGTAGGTTCATTTCTTTTATTATTTTATGTGTATGAATGTTTTGCCTGCACATATGTGTGTGCACCTTGTACATGCCTGGTGCCTGTAAGGTCAGAAGTCACTGGATTCCTTGGAACTAGAGCTACAGATAACTGTCAGCCACCCTGTGGGTGCTGGCAATTGAATCCAGATCCTCTGAAAGAGCATCAAGTGTTCATACAATTGAGCCATATCTCTAGCCCCAACTGTCCCTAATTCAAACCGCCATTGAGAATGGCTCAAAGGCTGCTTTTCCTACCTGAAGGGTGTGACACCAGATGTAGGCACCAACAACAGGACCAGTACCAAGGCTTTGTGGCTAGGAGGGCAGGGCAGGGGGTTTGAGCAAAACTTCCTGTGTAAGAGAAAGGAAAGTCGGCACAGTGACACATGGTTGTAAGTCCATTGCTTGGGAGGCTGAGACAGGAGGATTAAAAGATGGAGGTTTTGGTATTATATAGTGAGACCCTGTCTTAAAGCAAGTACAAAAAGTTAAACAAGAAAAACGGTAAGGTCTAAGGACGTCCCTCTTACCTCCTCCCAACTGGATTTAACTCTGAGCTTTGACATATCTTTCGAGTATGATCTTGGGAAAGGTATTGGATCCAGGTGCCAGGCTGCTCACCCAGCAAGTGGGCTTGTCATAAGTAACCCAGTGCATTGGGGAAAGCTTGGAAGAGTTGAATGTACCATAAAGTATGAAAGATTATTGTTCCTGATAGAGTGAGGGGCCAGTGATAGGAAGAGCCACTTGCATGGAGTGTCTGGAGGTTAGCCATGCTGCCCATTCTATGCTCCCCGTTGGCTGGAGGCAGCACTGTCCTCATCACAGAGCCTTTTTCCTCCACTCCTGTGCTCAGAAGCCGAGGGTCACATGGAAGCATGAAGAATGCTCCCTAAGCATTTATAGAGTCTGAGGGAGAATTACGATGCAAAGCCAGACTAGTCCTGCACTTTCTCGCTCTACTAGAGTACTCCCAGGATTGGCAAGGAAAACTGTCATGGATGGCTCACTGGGGCCTGGATCAGGGGGGGCATGGGGAAGAGAATTAGAAAAGGAAATAAGACTCACCAGTGAAACTCTTATTCTGAAGGTACAGGGCCCAGTAGGGAAAAGGAAGGAGAGAGGCATCATTAGAGAGGGCTCACAGAAGGTGCATTCTCCCTGAACCCTTTGCGTCAAACCATCCAGTTCTGGAAGGCGCAGCTCACTGTCCATCCACCCCAGCTGTTTTCTGTTTTTTGTGTTGTTGTTGTTGTTTTTTTTTTTTTTTTCTCAGTTCCACCCTGCCAAGGACCTCAGCACACCAAAACCTTATCAATCCCTTCAAGACCTCATAGAGGACACACTGAGGCCTCTGCCACTAGAGCACAGGGATTTCAGAGGTAGGGTGGGGTGGGCAGGAGAATGGGGAGTTCTAGTCTGTGCCAAGCAAGTGTACCTCCACCTGGCAGCAGGACCTTACCACATGGGAAGCCAGTAGACAGAGGCTGCTCCAGCGCGGCAGGTAGGGGCAGCCAACCTGAGCAGACACAGCGAGGCTGATGAGCAGCAGGAGGAGAGGCAGGAATGAGGCTGCCAGTCTGGGGCTCCCCATGAGCTTCTGCGGGATCAGGGCACAGAGACCATGGCTTTGTTGTCTGCAGGAGGGCAGCAGGGCCTGCCCCTGGAGCTGTGAGAAGCGCACAGAACCAGCGAGCACTCTCACCAAGCCCTGCCCTAGATCCACCCTGCCCTGAAGCTCCTCCTAGATCCTAACCAGCAGGCTAGGTCACATTCCTTCTCCAGAGCCAGGGCACTGAGGAACTCCTGCTTGTTCTGTAGAAGGCTTTATCACCCTCTCCGCACAGGGTCTCGGTGTGGCACAGAATTAACAGGAAAGGAACCAGCACCCTGTGGTAGACATGCACCCATTTCTTAACCCCTCCTACTCCTCAAATACTGCAGATCTGACAAGCCTATCATTTTGCTGTAGACCTTGGATCTGCACATGCTTCACTTTGAGCATGAACAGCTATTCTGCATTTGTCTACTCTGAAGGCTGAAGATAAAGTGGTTGGTGCATCATTTAAAGTCGGGCCAAAAATAAATGAGCGTTATGTAATGCAAATAAACCTCCTGTGCCCCGCCCCCCTGACTGACTTTCAGCTAAAGCCTAGCTTGCTTTCTGTGCCCACTAGCACTTTCCAACTATTCTTGACTCCAGGTCAAAGTGGTCTCCAGCTTTGAGGACCAACTAAACAATACAGCTTGTTCAGGAAGCTCCAGAGCTGACAGCTGAGCTCTGGGGCAGAGAAGGAGCTGCCTCACACACTGACCTGGTTTCCTGTGGTTTCCGGTGCAGGAAAAAAGCTGACAAGGCTCCAGACTTTGTGGGGACCCTCCTCATCATCTCTCAGCTTCCTCTTACTCAAGGAGCTTTTGAGTTCCTCCAACCCTCACCTTGGCAACACCCATGATGGAAGGAAAGTTTGGGGCATGTCCACTGGGTCAATGTACCTTGATCTCTCTCTCTCTCTCTTCTCTGTCCCTGTTTGTGTGTCTCTGTCTGTCTCTCTGTGTCTGTCTTTGTCTCTGTCTGTGTGTCTGTCTCTGTCTCTGTCTCCATCTCTCTCTCTCTCTCTCTCTCTCTCTCTCTCTCTCTCTCAAGTCAGGGTCCCTCTATATAACCCTGGTTGTTCTGGAACTCACTCTGTAGGCCAGGCTGGCCTTGAACTCAGAGATCCACCTCTGCCTCCCAAGTGCTGGGATTAAAGTCATACACCATCACTGCCCTGCTTGTCTCTCTTTTTTAAATTAAATTTTAAAAAATTAGGCTTGTGTGTATTGTATGTGTGGATGGACAGGTGCCCTTGTCCATGAAGGCCCATGTGGAGGCCAGAGGCTGACACTAGATGTCTTCCTGATTATTTTCTACCTTGTTTTGAGACAGGACCTCCCACTGAACCTGGAGCCTGCTGATTCAGCTAGGCTGGTAGCAAGACCCTACGGTCCACCTGTCTCCTCTACTCAGTGCTGGAGCTACAGGTATATTCTGCCATGGCCTGGTACTATGTGGGTGTTGGTGATCAAAACCCAGGTCCTCAAGTTGGTGATCAGAACCCAGGTCCTCTCTCAAGTCTTATTATTATTATCATCATCATCATTATTTTAAGACAGGGCTTCTCCGTGTAGCCTTGGCAGTCCTAGACTCGCTTTGTAAACAAGGCTGGCCTCCAGTTCACAGCAACCCAACTGCCTCTGCCTCCCTGATCTGGGATTAAAGGCATGAGCCACCACTCCTGGCTATCCATTATTATTTTTTTAAAAGATTTATTTATTATGTATACAATGTTTTGCCTGCATGTGTGCCTGCACACCAGAAGAGAGCACCAGATCTCATTACAAATGGTTAGGATCCACCATGTGGTCGCTGGGAATTGAACTCAGGACCTCTGGAAGGGTAGCCAGTGCTCTTAACCTCTGAGCCATCACTCCAGCCCCCATTAGTATTATTACTCTTAAGGCAGGGTCTCCTGTATCCTAGGCTGGCCTCAAGTTCCCTGGGTAGCCTAAAGATGTCCTGAAACTCCGGATCCTCCTACCTCCACTTCCAGACGCTGAGATTACTGGCATGAGCTATGGCATCCAGTTTCTTCAGTGCTGCAGACTAAATCCAGGATCCCAGGCTAGGCAAACACTCTACCAGCGAAGCTTTGTCTGAGCTCCAACATTTCATCCTTCTGGGACTCAGTCTGAACCACCCTTCAGTAGCATGACCACAGCCTTCTTGTGGTCATTCCTAAACGGCCCTTATCTGCAGTCTCCAATCTACCCATTACCCTAGAAGTATCCTCTTGTTTTTGCATTCCTTAAAACTTAAAGACTGTGGGGAGGGTAGCAAGATGAGAAGTTAAGTGAAGAGACTACCATCATAACAACCTGAGCTTGACCCCCAGGACCCACGTGGTCATTCTCTGACTTTGACACACATGCCATGGCATGCAAATAGAGAAGCATAGTTTTTAAATCTTTATTTACTAGGGCTAAGGGCATGTAGCTCTATTGCTAGAATGTTTGACTAGCATGTACTGGAGTCCTTGTTTTGTTCTTTGGGGAGCTGAAGAAGTTTAACGTCATTCTCAGCTACACAAACAGTTTTGAGCCAGCCTTGGATACATAAAGCCCTATCTCAAAAGAAAAAAAAAAAAAGCCAGCACTTGGGAGGCAGAGGCAGGAAGATCTCTGTGAGTTCTAGGCCAGCCTGGTCTACAAAGTGAGTCTGGGACAGCCAAGGCTATACAAAGAAACCCTGTCTTAAAAAACAAACAATAAAAAAAGACGCCAATAACTAGCAGTTTTAAATTTTTTAAAAACAAATTTGTTTATACATATGAGCATTTTGCCTGCATGTACATAGGCACTGTGTGTGTTTTTGGTGCCCACAGAGGTCAGAAGAGCATGTCAGATCCCCTGGAATTGGAGTCATGGATTGATGATAACCACCATGTAGATACTGGAACAGAAGCAGAGTTATCTGCAGAAGCAAATGCTTTTATCCACAGACCTACTCTCCAGGGGGGTGGTTCTGGCCTGCAATCCCAGGTACTTGAGAAGCTAAGCCAAAGGGATCACATATTGAATGCTTGCCTGAGTTCAAGACCAGCCTAAGCAACTTAATGAGACCCTATCTCAAAGTGTGTGTGTGTGTGTGTGTGTGTGTGTGTGTGTGTGTGTGTGTGTGTAACAATTAAATAAAAAGAGGCCATTACTGGCACACAACTTTAGTTCCACCACTTGAGAGGCAGAAGCAGGCAGATCTCTGTGAGTTTGAGGCCAGCCTGGTCTACAGAGTGAGTTCCAGGGCAGTCAGGGTTACACAAAGAAATTCTGTCTCGAAAAACCAAAAATAAAAACAAAACAGGCCAGGTATGGTGGCACATGTCTGTAATCCCAGCACTCAGGGAGGCAGAGACAGGTGGATCTCTGTGAGTCCGAAGACAGCTTGATCTACAAATCAAGTCCAGGACAACCAGGGCTACACAGAGAAACCCTATTTTGAAAAAAACCAACCAAACAAACAAAGAAAGAGGCCATGAGTTTAAAAGAAAGAGGAAGGAGATGCATTAGAGAAGTTAGAGAGAGGAAAAGGGAGGATGATAAAATCATAATTTCAAAAAAATAAATTATTATAAAACTTTGTTTTATTTTTGGCAACAAGGTCTCCCTATGTATTCCTGGTTTTCATGGAACTCACTATGTAGACCAGGCTGGCCTCAAACTCACAAGAGATCCACCTGCCTCTCCTCTGCCTCTGCCTCTGCCTCTGCCTCTGCCTCTGCCTCTGCCTCT